CCTCTGGACATGTCCAAACGACTATACCTACTGTCCCTCTGGACATGTCCAGAGGGACAGTAGGTATAGTCGTTTGGACATGTCCAGAGGTACAGGGAGTTTATTGGTTTGAACAAAGTTTGGTTTTTGAACAAAATGAATGAGCACCACAGGAAGGGGGTGTGGCCTAACAACTGTCAATCACTCAGCCTCGTACACATGAATAAATCTTTGGGTTTATTGGGTTTTATTCGTAGTGAGGCCATTTACAGAGATTCTGTTCTTGACTTCATCAAAATGTGAATTAATGGTTTTAAACATATTTTTAATCTTTAATGGTAAAGTGGGTGTTTCTCACCTGAACGTAGAACATATCAACAAACTGTCAGAATGTGTTCTACTTTTGTTTGTCACTAAATAAACAGCAGAAAAGTGTTTTTTATTCAGGAAGGCTACTAGTCTGTTCACATCATTTAGCTTCAAGTGTAAGCAGATAAAACAGCAAATGTTCAAAATAAAGTTTTATTGACAATGAAAAAACAAGTAAATAAAATCTTGAGTGTCATTAACACATTCAAGTATAAAAATCAGCTCATGGTTGATTTCCCTTTCTATCCCAGATTGGAGCATTCCAGAGGCCTGTTGCACAAAATTCAGATTAATAAATCCAGGATCTGAGCTGTAAGCTGAGCTTGAACCTTCAACCTGTAAACAGCTGTAATCTGTTGCTCAAACACCAAGCTGCGCTCATTCAAACCAGCTGTAAATAATCTGGGATTAATGCACGTTCACAGTTTGTTTACTGGACCCACTGGGTGGATGACAGATTACCTGATCAGACATGTGCAGTAAGACAGGTGAGTCTGACTTCCTCCAGCAGGTTAATGGTTAATTATGATTCATCTGAAGAGAAACACCGACTGATGCTGTCATCATTTCAGAAATAAAAACTGCTTTAATCTGTCTGCAAATTATCTGAGATTAACTAAATGAACTCAAACAGTTGAACTCTTTGCCTTAAAATGATGGCTGTATGAAACGGGACAATAATTGGGGGGAGGTCTGGCAGAGCTGAGCGCTGATGGGGGGGCTCCAGACAGTTCGGGGGGTGCAGCAGCAGAAGGGGGAACTTGGAATAATGACATGTCAGGCTCTGACACTAGTGTAAAGGTGAAGCTTTTTCACAGATAATCTGATAAATAAATTAAATCAATATATTTCCTCTGTAATATTTTAATGTAAAAACAGAATAAATGTAGTAACTGTCAGAAACACTGATTTCTGATCCCACACTGCAAACATTAGGCTTCTAAAAATAAGTTTAAAATACTAGATTATACTCTGAATCTTTTCTAATGAACAGTAATTAATAATCTGCAGTTGCACTTGGTAAGACTTGTTGAAATAAAGAACTTTTCAGATTAACAAGATTAGTAATCCAACATATTCTGATCTTGTTTAGTATATGGGTCTAAAAACAAGATCAAAACAGTTTTTATCTGATATCAGACAGTAAAACTTGGTTAGAGGAACAGTTTACTGCAGTAAAATGACTCTACTGTAGAAGATTAAATAATCTTCACTTTAAACCTGATCAGGTTAGTTTCAGATCACTTGTTACACAGAAACATAAGAGCTTCCTCTGTCATGGAACTGATTCAAGGCTTAATTAATTCAGGTTTACAACTAAATCCTGGGTTAATCCCTTATCCTGGATTGGTGCAATAGGCCTGTGGTGTCAAAGACCCAAACAAGCAATAAATAAACAGAAACGTTTAAAAACCAAGAGAAAAATCACTTCTTGCTGTTTCACAAACCTGAAACTGAACCATCTGACATGTTTTCAGGCCTGGATTGATCTTTGTGATGCTTTAATTTCAGACTAAGCTTGATTTCATCTAAAGGTCCAACAGTGCAGTTTGTTTCAACTCTGGGAGAAATGGTTGTTGTGAGTTCAGTAACTTTCATTGAATGTTTCATTAATCACAGCTGTAGAGGTTGTAGAGGTTGTAGAATGTGCCAAAGATCTTTTGTCTTGGTGCGTGGATCTTTTATTTCTAAGAAAAAAAAACTTTTTGTCTGAGATAAGAGTTTATCTTGCTGAAACAATCATGTTTTGTTTTTAGAAGAATAAACTTTATTTGTTTCAGGAAACCATTCCAGTGAGCACTTTTCTCCTCCAGAGCAAAAAGAAAAAAATAGTATAGGTCTTCTGGACGGGTTCTTCTCTAATGAAAGGTTTCGTCTCTCCTCCAAGAGACTTTTAAGTCACATGGAGGCAGGGCTTAAAAGCCTGAATTTAGCCTGAAACTCTCAGACTGAAGA